ACTAGGAAAAAAAAAGAACAGAGTTATAGAGCAAGAAAACAGTTGACAGAAGACTTGAAAAGTTGAAGGTTGTATGAGTCAGGAAAACATGAAGATGGGAGAGAGTTCCAAAGGATTGAAGTGCGGGGAAAAAAACTAGATGAATAAAAGTTTTTAGAGCATGCAGGGACAGATACAGTAAACGAATGAGACTTAGCTGAATGACGAGTAAAACGAGAATGAATTTTGCTAGGAAACTTAAAAGTGAAAATGGAATTCTTGCTATACCTGATAAGAAAATAGGCCAAAAAATACCTGACATTTTCTTACAGCTTTGGTTCAAGATTTTTTTCAACAAGATGAACATTCTAGAATTATGCCTGATATAAAAGATTGTGTTAAAGTTAAAAGTGGTCCTCCACAACAAAACAGATTATTATTGTGCAACCTTCATGAGCTTTATATTGATTTTAAAAGTAAATACCCTAATTATAAAATAGGATTTTCAAAGTTTTGTATTTTTCGTCCAAAATGGTGTATTAGTGTGGTACCAAATGGTACACACTGTGTATGTGTTTGTATTTACCATCAAAACTCAATATTGCTTGTAAATGCTGTCCAATGGAATGTTACATACAAAGATTTAATGTCAAAATTAGTATGTGATACAAGCAATAATGAATGCATGGTTCATAGATGTGCCAAATGTCCAGGTTATGATAACTTAAAGGCATTTTTAGATGAGGAATTAATTGAGATTGATGAAGAAGAAGAAATTCAATTCAACCAATGGCAAAGTACTGATAGATCACCATTAATTACTCAATCAGTTAACTTATTTGAATATAAAGAACTAGTTGTTTCTCACATTAATCATCTAACTTCACATTCATATATTGCTAAATGCCAAACTCGCTATTTGAAAGAACTAAAAAATAATGTAGGTTACAATGAATGTATTATACAGGCAGATTTTGCAGAGAACTATCAATTTGTTATACAGGATGAAATACAAAGTTATCATTGGAATAAACAACAATGTACACTTCATCCTGTTGTTATATATTTTAAGGAATTTTCTGAAACAAATATTCAGCATAAGTCATTCTGTTTTTTAAGTGATGACAATGATCATAATACATGCTTTGTGTATGAATTTCAAAAGAAAATTGTAGAGTACATTAAGGAATATTTAGTTGGTATCAATAAAATTTATTATTTTTCTGATGGATGTTCTGCTCATTATAAAAACTATAAAAACTTTATAAATCTATGCCACCATAAGGAAGATTTCGAGATTACAGCTGAATGGGTATTTTTTGCAACCAGCCATGGAAAATCCACTTGTGATGGCATAGGTGGTATCGTTAAAAGAATAACAGCAAGAGCAAGTTTGCAAAGGGCATTGGAAAACCAAATATTAACAGTTGATGATATGCTTAAATTTTGCATCACCAATATAAATACAATCATATTTTATAAAATTTCCAAAGAAACAGTTAATGCAAGGAGACAACAACTAAAGGAGCGATTTGAAACAGGAAAAACTGTTCCAGGTAACAGAAGTTATCATCATTACATACCTATTTCAAAATTTGAAATTAGTTTTAAAAGAACAAACGAACATCAATGTGTTGACAGATTTATACTGTCAAAAGCAGTAATGTCTGATGTTGTTATTGTACCAAATCTAAATGATTTTGTTGCATGCAAGTACGATTCCTTTTGGTGGATAGGCATGGTTACAGAGATACATATTATTATAAATGATATTCAAATTAAGTTTATGCACCCTCACGGCCCTTCTCAAAACTTTATTTGGCCACAGAGAGACGATATCTGTTGGGTACCATTGTCGAGTTTGATTGCAGTAATCAAAGTCCCAACAACAAAATCAGGGCGAACATATAACATTGATGTGAATGATTATAACACAATAACTGATAAATTTTAATTTTTTTTGAGTTTTTAATTTTTAAATTTTGTATATTACTTTTGTTTCTTGAACTTCTTTCCGAGTGCTCTATTTGTTTTGGAGTTTTTGTTATTTAAGTTTATTAAATGAAGTTTGATAAATATGAAACTAATGTTTTATAAGTAATAAATTTAAGTATATTTGAAGATGTTTTTTTTTCTGATTTAAGACCGCAATCTGATTCTTTGTAATAACTCCAACTAAACTATTTAATACAACTTCTGAAAAAAAAGCTAAATTTGCAATATACATCTGCATTTATATAATTCTCCCCCTTGAAACTAAACTTTTTCAAGATCAGATTCTAAAAAATTACAAAGAAAACAGAAACAGCTAGTCAACAACAACTAAAAGAACAGTTTGATGTAGCCTAAACTGTTTCAGTTGCAAAACTGTCAAATTACCACATTTTTTTTCTTGTTTAATTTGTCATAATACCTGTTTTTTAAGCAATAAATTTAAGTAGATTTGACCGTATTTTTATTTCTGTTTTAGAAAAGACCACTCTTCAATTCTTTGTAGTAACTATAGCGTAACTATTCAGAACAACTTCTAAAAAAAAAAAAATCAAGCTACATCAGCATTTTTGTGATTGGACTCGCCCCAGTAAAATTGTGGTAAACGTTCAAATTTTAGGTGTTATGCTTGTTTTTAAATATTTTAAGTTGTTTCATTGGATTCGTTGGCCCAAAATATGTGAAGGTACAAATTTTACAATTTTCCAACACACATATAACAGAAACTAGGACCAAAACCATTTTTAAAAATGGGGGATTTTTGTTGGTTGGAGGCAAACTTAAAATAGCTATATCTTAGGAACGGATTGAAATTAGACGATAAAATTTTCAGGATGTTCATAATTTACTAAAATCTTTAAGTGGTTTAAAAATCAGCAAAATCTGAGACTTATGGTTGCATTTTCAAAAAAAATTGGATATTTTCACATGGAATCTCCCAAAAGTGAAACCATGGTAAAACCATTTTTTGGAAGTAAGTTATCATGAACAAAATTTTTCATTAAAACTTATTTCACCCTTCTTTGCCAAGCAGTCATGATAACTAATGCCAGCAGTGCTGTGAAGGGGCTATTTTGTGGAGACTATTTTTCTTATTAGTTGTTTGTGACTATTATTTTGTACTTTATCTTAATTTTCCTAATTTTAATTTATGTGTTATTTGACTGTAGTCTAATTTTAAAAAAATTAGTAAGAAGCATGTAAAAGAATGACTGTAGTCTTTTTCTAAGAAAGTTAGTTTTCTATTGATATTTAATTGCCCATATCAAAAGAATGTTAACATTAAAAAGTAAAGAAATTAACCATTTTTTTCATTTTAATATATATCATATATATATTCATAATATATATCATAACCAAGAGTCATTAATTAAATGCTGAAGAAATTAGAGCCATAACACAAGAGTATTCCTATATATGGTGGTATTAGTCCATGTTTTTTATGCTTACCAACCATATCTGATAAACAAGGTGGCAGCTGTTTATCAACTGTTTTTTAGAAAATAAAAAAAAAATAAAAAAATTTCATGAATAAAATATGAACGTAATTATTGGATAACTAATAACAATTACAACTAATTTAAACAAGATAAGTCGCGGGATAAAGTATAAGTGGCGACGACGTTTGTCTGATGGGATAAACTAGTTATAAATGCTGATCCTCATCGAAACGCCAGTTATAAGTGCTGATCCTCATCAAAACCCCAGTAATAATAGACGCGACTCTGAGGAGATGTTTATTACTTAATCACTACACAAATTATGTTTACAAATTAGTATTAATGTTTTTTTTCCATTCTGAGGCCTTACATTGTTGTATGCATACTTTTTATTTTGTAATCAATTTTTTGTTTTATAAATTTTTGTTTGGTGATATATTTGTTGTATGTCTTCGTTCGTATAAGTGTTTATAAAACAGTTTATTTTTTTATTATTATTATTGTTAAGTACTGTTTTAGTTGCATTGTCTGTCTTATTTATTTTTAAATATTCCTCTATTAATCTTTATTTTTGTCTTGACAACTGTCAAAATATGTCTTGTTCAAAAATAATTCTCCTTTATTCTAATGTACTTCATTTCTTCCCTCAGGCGTTCACTGCTCGTGTGTGACCATTCGGCGAATTTTATATGCCAAAGTTTTTATATAAAATATAAACGTAAATATTGGATAACTAATAACAGTTGCAACTAATTTAAACAAGATAAAAATAAGATTAATAAAATATTTTAATATGAATACATATAACTTAAATCAATTATAAAATATATTTTATCAATTAATAAAATTTTACATATAATGCAGTTATATTATAAACTCAAACTTTTATTATCTTGAACTGTTTTCTACAGTCCCTTGAAAACATGAACAAGTCGAACATTTTTTTAGTCAAACTGTTTTAAATGTTTTTTCAAATGTTTAGATATGTAAAAACATTTTAGTAAATTTCATTTATCGTACGTTAACTTTTATTTTTACTGTTTTTTATGTTGGTCTATTTTATTATATATTTTAAATTCGGGTTCGTCCACAAAGTATGTGCGCTCGGATGGAGGAGAAGGGTCTGCAAATGGTATATATGAGATAAGGGACTGGTGGTCAATTATAAAAGTAAGGATACACTAAATTAAAAAAAAATTTCATAAAATGTTGGGTAGGTAGGTTAAAAGCATAGAGACTTATAGGAAGGTGTAGGGTACTCAAAAAAGCGTATAGCAAAATAGGTTGAAGGTTCAAATAAAAGCGTACGTACTTTCTGGACGACCTCTTATTACATTATCATGTTAGGCAGCTAGGTTTTTTTTTAAAAAAAAGTTTAAAATATGTTCGCAAAATATTTCATTTAGTTCTCTAAAAACATAAGAACGATTTCAATTAAATAAACCTTTATTTCGGTTTTTTTTCAAATGCTTGTATTTTTATAAAAAAAACATTTATTTTGTATCATTTATTTTATCCACTATATCTATTACTCAAATTAAGTTCCGTAACTAATTTTTATAAAAATCCGCTTGTTTTCTTTGTTTTTAGATGCAGTTGTTTTAATGGATCGTGAGCAAGGTGGTAGAGATCGACTTTTAAAAGACGGCATAAAGTTACATAGTGTGTTTGAATTGAATAATGTTCTAAATTATTTAACAAGGGAAGGTTTGATAAATGAAACTATGTTTACTGAAGTATCTTCTTTTATTTTAAACAATCAATATCAAGTTAATCCTGTTAACTCAGTTGCTCAAAAGAACACGAAAATTTCCTATAGGGAAAGAGCAAAACTGGTCAGTAATCCAGTTGCTAAACGCATTTTTAATCTTATGGAGGATAAAAAAACAAATTTGGCATTATCAGCTGATATCACAAACTGCTCTGAGTTACTTCGAATAGCCGATTTACTTGGGCCACATATTTGCATACTTAAGATTCACGTAGATATAATGGTAGATTTCTCCTCTCAGTTTATTCAGTTGCTTCAGGAGTTAGCAAAGAAACATGACTTTGTAATATTTGAAGATCGTAAATTTGCTGATATCGGTAACACTGTTAAAGAACAATATTCGCGTGGTATCTATAAAATACGAGACTGGGCAGATCTCATAAATGCACACGGAGTTCCTGGTGATGGTGTTCTATTAGGTTTAAAAGAAGAAGCATCGGGCTACGATCGTGGTTGTTTGTTAGTTGCTCAGATGACATCTTTAGGAGCATTGACAAATTGTGGTTATTCTGATGCTGTGGTTCAAATGGCAGAGAGATCTTCAGAATTTGTCATTGGTTTTATATCCACTTCGAAACTTATCGACGGGGAAAATTTTCTTTATATGACACCCGGAGTAAATATGGCAGTATCTGGAGATGAACTTGGTCAACAGTATTTAACCCCAGAGATAGTAGTTCGAGATCGAAAATGTGATGTTATAATAGTTGGGAGAGGCATTTACAATGCGTTAGATCCACTATCTGAAGCTATAAAATACAAAGAGGCTGGATTCAAAGCTTATCTACAGCGTCTAGAGTTATAGTTACATTAAGAATTTATATAATAAGGTTTTATAAGAACAACTGATTTTTAAAATTATTAAAATTTAATATTAATAGGTACGATTTATAGATATATTTGCTATAATGTTATAATATATACTATGTTGAAATATTAATATTAAATGACTAATTTTGAATAATTAAAATAAAATCATTAATAATGCAGGACGTTAGTTCGTTGCTATGGAACGTTTAGTTTTCTAAGATATTCTTAGTTTATTATACTGTTAAAGTTCTTAAAGCTGTTGAAGCGCTTTTCTGTGGTTCTACGTGTAAAATACGAGAATTCTGAAGATGTTTGAACCTGAACAACTTTTAAATCCTCCAGAAAACCGCGTAAGTAATATAACTTTATATTTTCGTTTACATACAAATAAAAAAAATTGTAAACAAAACTAACTCGATGAGGTATATGTAGTAAAAATTAAAAACATTAAATTTTATCAAGTTTGACGAAACATAATTTCAAAAAGTAGACATGCAAATTTGATTATGTTTCAAACGTTCAAACTTTTTGGCATTGAATTTTAAACAAGTACATTTTTAACACCACTCCATAGCACTTTCTACTACTAGCGCGAAACCGCATTTTTATGTGGGGCTTATTTTTTACGGCAAAAATTTAAAAATATATATAAAAATAAAGAAGTGTAATGAATTCTCTTTGTATAATGTATTATTCTTTATTAGATGTAAAAGAAAAAAAACAATCTCAAGCAACTAAATTGCATTAAAATATTTTTTAATTAAAAGTTTTACACATTTATATAAACATATAGTCTCACATATATTTACTTTACCGACTTCAAAATTAATTTCTTATATTGAGTAGAAAAAATTAATGTAAAATTAAACTTATATTAAGTTGAAAGTACTAAAATAAAGAAAGAATATTAAATCAATTTTGTTAAAGAATATAAATGAAAAATATGTTGAATATTAGTAAAAAAATTATTAACATAAAAATCACACCTTAAAGAGATTTTTAATACTTTCAATGCAGTTTCTTTGTCAGATCTTGGAATGACAAATTATTTACCAACTTGTACACAAATTTTTTTTTTTTTTTAAATGTCGCTTAACATTCATGTTTTATACAATTATGTTCTTTCGTACTAAAAATACTACTCAAAGATTTTCTGCACTTATGGTTTATGGTTATTTGAAAATTATTGTACAGAAACAAATATCTACCACGATCCAATTTAGAAAACTGACAATAATTCTGATAATAGAATGTTGCTTGAGCAGGGAGTTTTATTCACTTCTTGTGAGTATGAACTCACAAGAAGTGAATAAATAAATTATGTGAACAAACGATATTTTAACATTTTCAGCAATAAAAGATTAATTTCAAAGGTAAAAAATACTTAGCAAATCTCCAGAACCATGATGAAGTACTTTACAGAGCCGTACGCAGGATTTTTTTGATAACTTTACTATCTTAAATTTAAATTCATTGACAGATTTCAAATTTCATTGAAAAATATTGTAAATTACAAAAGGTATGACCATCCAAATTTTCCAACCCCCTCAAAATAAGGGGGTGTAAATTTTGCATGGTCATAACTTTTGTAATTTACAGATTTTTCAATGAAATTTAAAATCTGTCGATAAATGTAAATTTAGTTTATGATAGTAAAGTTTACTACATCAGTGCCCTTACGTTTGGGCAGGGGGTGAAAACGTTTTAGGGCTTTTTCATTCCCAGGTCTCTCCCACTCATTGTGCAAACTCCAAACTTAAGTATGTTCATAGGTATGAACATACCTAAGTTTGGAGTTTGCACAATGTGTGGAAGTCTCCTATCTGAAACATAAAAAAATCCTGTGTACGGCTCTGCTATATTCTTTTTCCTGGTTATCTGATGTAAATTGGCCACACAAAAAACGCAGTTTAGTGCAGTCTTAAATAAATATCTACATTAACCATAACAAGTTTGATCTATAAATGTTATAACATCTACAGAAAGCTGCGTAACAAGTTTACTTTGTTGACCTCTTGTTTTATGCTTTATATCGCCAAACTCTAGTATCAAATCTAAACGCTTGTCATAAAGATTGCTGATAATAGGTACCAAAGGATCTTTTTTTTTTGCTGTTATTAAAGTGCTCCCAGTGGTCTTTACGGTCTTATCACACAGCGCCACAAAAGAGCATTTAATTAGGAAGTTCACATTACACTTAACCTCATAGTGAAATGTTTAAAAGTGAAAATTTTCATAAATTTTAAGTTCAAACAAAAGTATTCCATTAAATAATTTGTAAGGATTGAAAACATAACCATCAATCATAAACGATATAACGGGATACTGGTGATCACTTTTGTTAGTAAACTTGTTTTTGATGTCAGAGAGATTTATTTATTTCTTCTTTTTAAGAAATGTGTTTCTAATGTTATTTAAGGATGTTATGGTAGTTTTTTTGAGTTGGAGCGCCATACTGTGGAAAATAAAGATTTGTTTTGGATTAAAAATCAATAACTTTTTTGTTACTAAAGATTAAGAGTTAAAATTTTGAACAAATGTAAAGTAGTATATGACACTTCTAAGCAAATATTTTTTATAAAAAAAAATTTCAAAAAATTCAAAATTGTCATTTATTCTTTTATTTTTAACATGTTCTTTTTAATTATATAAAACTTTGTATTCGAAACTAAGGGTGGAATGCAAGAAGCAAACTTGAGTCAATTTCGACTTGAACTTTATTTTGTAACCAATAGCGGCAGAGTGTTTTTGAGGGGAAAACCCATACTCTGTCGCTATTGGTTATAATGTAAAGTTCAAGTCGAGCTTGACTCAAGTTCGCTTCTTGCATTCCACCCTAAGTATTTGAAGCAGCAAAAAATATATAAAATGCTTAATTATTTGGAAAATATATTCATATTAAATTTATTTATATGTAAAAAATATTTAGACGAGCTTTCGGCTAAACTCTAGGCCAAAATTAGGGATGTACCGAAGCTTCGGCTTCGGCTTCGGCGTGCCGAAGCTTCGGCAATTTTGCCGAAGCTTTGGTTCGGCCGAAGCCAGGTCAATTTTTTGCCGAATCTTTGGCTTCGGCAAAAAATTTTAAGTAATTAAAGTTATAAGCTACTGTGGGACAAGTTATAAAAATAAGCTAATTGCCAGTGTCTAATAAAGTTATAAATTTAGGACTACAGAGTTAAAGTTGGAGTCTATACCATATACTTAGTATTATTTACTCCCAAGTTTCTTGTTATGGAGGGGATAATAATAAATAAGTAAAAATGTTTTGAAAAAAATAATAAAATTAGGGAAGGTCCTCATACACTTTGAAAGCTTCCAAGTGTGACTTTAGATGAACTGAAGCAGCATTTCTATGCAGAATAAAAACCTTATAATTTAAAACAAATTAAAAGTTTTTAAAACCTTAATTTGTATTATGTAACGAATTCATATTAATTATTGTGTGGGATTACCGCAAATAGAACAAAATTTGGTTTCAACATTTGACCGATAAACCTTAGTAATCTCTCTTTAAAGAAGATTAAAGATACGTTGCTACTATTTTAAATTGTGTGTATGTTTAATTTTTTAAAATTTTATTCAACCATATTAATAAAAATTTACAAATTTTCATCGTAAATTTACAGAAATTGGTTAGGTGTCACTTATATAAATACAAAATAGTCAATGGAGTGACACATAAAAAACAAAAAGTTCTCAACAACAAAAAAGGAAGAAAAGCAAATGAAATATAAACGAGGAGAATAAAAAAAGAAAAAAAAAAGCCAACAAAAACTAGATAAATTAAAAGAAAAAGAAAAACAATGATAATAACTATCCTTGCTCTTTTATTAATATTATGAATACTTCTAAATTGAATTTATATATTAAACATGTAAACCAATATTCTGGTTTCTTTTTATGATATTATGAAGACTTTTAAATTTTATTTAAAATAAATTTAAGGTTGAAGCTTTGATTACTTTGAGCTCTTATATTTATCATCAAAATTTATTTAAATTAAATAAACAATTTAAATCAAATAAATATCAGCTAGCTCAATCCCTGTTTATTTATAAATATAAAGTGAATAATAATATAATTATAAATAAAAAATTTATAAAGTATTCTATTTATTATTTTATTTAAAGCTTACTCTACAGAGTTGTTAGATTACTATGGAAGCTTTTACCACAGATAGTTAATATTTGATTTCAGATACTGATGCAGATTTATCCATTATAGAGACAGAAGAAGAATGAATACTAAGATTTTAAAGTGTAAAAAATTAAAAAAAGCTATAGAAAATGTTATGTAGTGTACAGTTTAAAACAATAAAAAAAAAATACTTAAAAGTGTGTAAAAAAGAAGTTAGAGAGAAATCTATCATTTGTACTTTTTTTTAGCAGCAGGTTCACAACAGTTGAAGTGGAATCCAAAATGATCTTAACTTGGGTTTTTTTCAGTTTAGAAATTGTTCGTTTAAAGAATACAGAGAAGTAAAAAAAAGATATTAAAATAAATAGCAATAAAAAGATAAAGTGTGTTTCTAACATTTTTTATGTTGTAGATACAACTAGATCAGCTAAGAGTGTTTATTTAAAGAAAGAGTGATCAAGTGCAAAAGATAAATTTACTCTAGTAATGTTCAGAGATTTTTATCCATTTCTATTAACAAATAGTGTATTAAAAATAAAAATAAAATATACAGCACATGAAAAGATGCTATATAACATTAATATGGTTTGCACACAGAAAAAGTAGAACTAGAAGTAGGAAAATTTGGGAAGAATGTTTTAAAAAAGCTTAAGTTTAAAAAAAAAACGCTCGGTGCGGTCAAGTATCAGAAACGACATAATGAGAAATATTTAAACAGGGGCGCTGAGAGCTTTTGCCCTGTCTGGAACAGCAACCCTGATTGGCGTCCTCATTTTCATACGATTTTTCTATATTATTAGTCAAGGACCATAGTTTTGGTACCTTTTTTGTTTTATACCCCTGCTGATCTGAATGCTGATTAAATTTTAAGCATATATAGTGCCGAAGCTTCGGCTTCGGCAAAGTGGCTTCGGCCGAAGCTTCGGCTTCGGCAAAATTTCAGCTTCGGTACATCCCTAGCCAAAAACAAACACGTACTTTTTAAACTTTTTAACTAAAATTTTCCGAATATTAGGTTTAATTGCTTTATTAATTTGATTTTTTAATTGTTGCGTGTGATTTGCATCTATTTCAACATTTACATTTAATTGTTGCATCTATTTCAACATTTACATGAATATTTTTAAGAGTTAATAAAATTATAGAAGTATTCAGAACAGTTTATCAACAACAATTTTTATACTGTGAGTTTTTATGGAATAAATTTCATGTCGAATTTCAAAAGCTGCAAAGTATCTTCATTAAGTTCTTAAACCTTTTTGTTGTACGGTTTTAATAATGCTGAGAATTACCAACGTTGGTATTACCACTTGTTTGTTTCGGTTTGTCAACGATTAACCTTAGCTGCTCATGACAACGTTTCTGTACCAACGTCTTCTTGTCTTTCTTTTGTCATTTTTTTTCTTTCTCCTCTTTTAGCTGACCATGTTTGGAAAGACAAGTTGTAGGAAATATGTAATATTATTTCCATACACCGAACCAAGGCATGTAATATCGATAATACTTATTGATATGAACTTTCATTTTCGGGCTTAGCAGACTTTTTAGTCAAATCGTTCATTTGTTGTGGAATAGCTCCACATATTGTACATGTAAACGATCGGTTAATACCTGAACCATTTTTCCATCTATCATTGTTAAAAAAAGTTCATGTTTCATTTCCAACATTTGATAATTATAGATGGCCGTAAAGAGTATATTTGGCTTTTTATTTCCTCAGCAGCAACCAATAACAATGCCAATAATAGAATGCATGTCTATTAAAATTAATTCTCAAGAAAAAATTGACAAAATAAATTACGCAAAACTATTGTTTTTAACCGTTATAGTCTGAAACCGCGATAAAAAGCGGTTTTTTGTTTTCTGACTTTTAACACTTTTTTATCTATAATTTTGGAAACCGCACGTATCCGCACCTGATTTTTAATAAATTAATTTTATTGACACCTAAGCTACCAATCAATTATAAAAATGAAGTGTGGGTGACTGCTAAAAATATCGGTGAACCTTAAGAACTTTTATTTTCTAGCTCATTTTATAGTTTAACTAATTATTAGTAAACAAAACCATATAAATAAAAATATGAATTTGTTCTAAAATCTCCATTACACGATACTTTCAAAAGTTTATAACACTTTATACTTACTCATAAAAAGTTTTATAGAAAATAACTTTTAAAGTGATGAAGCAAATAAGTTTCAATTGAACATTTACAAAAATATGAAACAGTAGGGTTTCAAAAATTATCTTAATACATAAAATTAGCTGAAATCTCTACATTATAGTAAAGATTAACTATTAAACTTTTAAAAAAAATTAAAGTATAATTTCTGGAGTGTTATTGAAATTTGAGCAAAAAACATTTATGGTACGTTTTAGTAGTATTTTCCATAGTGCGCCAAGCCAACTAAATAGAGCATTTTTTTTTGTCAACGTCATCCGCATTGTAATCGTTTTCAAAGTTTGGAGACCAGTGCAACTTACTTACTTAGACCAGTGCAACAGATAATATTATGTTTAGTACTAATATAAAAAACAGCTTTTATCCATTTTTTATGCTCAATATTATTACTTGGACATTATAAAATTATATTAAAAACAATGATTTTTCATACAATTTTCCACCTTAAAGGTATAGTTTTAGCTCCTATCCTATGGTATAAACTACTCTACCTTTTATTTTTTTTAGTGTGTAGAACGTGATTTTAGAAGTTTTCTTCATGCCAATTAAGGTTCAAGCTCTGAGGCACTACCTCTTCTGAAAGTTTTAAAGAGAATGTTTTGTAACTTCAAGAGTATAGATATTCATATAAAAGATATTTTACAATATTAATATATTAATATTTTATGTTATTTATATTATACTTTAAATTTATATGTTGTATCCAAACAAATGTCAAAAAAACACTTATTAGAACTGTAATCTAATTTAACATACAAGGGTGGCGGTGATGCATTTAGTTTCCGTTTTTCATTTTGTGTTTTATTATATTTTCTTTTTCTTTCTCATTAACATTTCTATTAAAAAATGAGAACGAAAAGAAATTATTTAAAAATGAACTTTTTTGTTGAATGAAATTTAAAACAATTATTTCTATTTTTAAATTTAACAAATAAAAATGTGAAACCACTTTAGCCCACTGATTCAAAACGTGAGGAATTTCGAAAATACCTCGATAACTCAGGCGTGCTTGATGCTTTAACAAAAGGTATTATTTTGTTCTTTTTATTTTTGGTAATCTCTATCCATGCCTATTATAATATTTTATAACACTGGATTTTGTGATCAGTGAGTTGCAATGTATTTCTGTTTCTTATTCCCAGTTTTATTGTTTTAAACCAGTCTTGTTGTTTTAAATCAGCTTTGATGTTTCAAACCAGTTTTGTTGTTTTAAACCAGTTTTTTTCTTTTCTATTGCACTAAATTTTCTATTGCACAAAAATGAGAAAACTTTAACTTTAGAAATGTTAAAAGTATGAAAAAGTATGAAATAACGTTTATATTTTTTTAAATAACAAAACAATACTCTTTCATTAAAACAACAACTATATAAACTTGGCCATTGATTAAGACCCCAAATGTTCTTGATCGTACATTTTCTTGGCCATTGATCAAGACCCCAAATGTTCTTACATTTTCTGCGTACTAAAATCTTTTTTTTTAGTTTTAGTTGAACTTTATGAAGAACCAGAGAAACCGTCAAATGCAGTAAAGTATCTTTTCGCTATTTTGGCATTTTATCACGAGACATTAAAGTTATTTGATCAGTATTCAAAAAAATTTTTCCGATGATCAAACAACAATGAAAACATAAACTATAAAACAATAAGTTTATTTATGACAATTTTATACTTTTACCTGATATTTTAAAATCAAGATACAACCTTGACAAACTGAAGTTTTGTAAAACAACATATTGGTGGTGTGGGAGCAGCGGATGCTAAATCCGAGTACATATCAAATTTGGAAGCAAGAATAAAAGATCTTGAATCAGAAGTATACGATCTAAAAATAAAGGTAAACATTTATTGTCACATTCTTTAACTTTTTTATTATTTCGCAATTGTTATCTCTACAATTTATTATATCCTTAAAATGATGACTCAGCGTTATTATCACTCAAGTGTTTGTTTTTATGACTATAGTTAGATTGGGGATTGGGGACAAACGTAAATTAAGATTAGAAACTGCTTAAACGTTAAAAGATACAACCCTTCTAAAAATATTTAAATAACTTAAGATCAATAACCAAAATAATATCAATAATGATAATAACTATGTCAATGATAAAAATAGTAATGTGAATATAATATTAATATAATAATAAAAAATAGTTGTATAATACTTTGTATTACAATTTATTACAAATTGTTCGACTTGGCTCTAGCAAGGTAAAGTTACTCTGTGGTAAGTCGTACCTCTCAAGAAAAAACATTATAAAACTTTAGAAATTATTTTATTCAAAACTTAATATTGCTGTTACTTGTTATAACAAAAACTTTAAAAGCTTAAGGCACTTAAGAAACTGGTTTTCTTAAGTTGAACCGTCGTAACGCCTATAGTCTAAGTTGTACCGAAGAATTAAATAAAGAAACAATAATAGTTAAAATATATTTCTTTATTAACTTGTTTACATTATACATATATGTTTAGCTTGTACAGATATCACATAAATATTTTTTTTTATTTTTTTTTTCATTAAACCCAAGACATTCATCGTGCACGCATATTTTGCATTTCAACCTTTTAAATATATTTTACTATCAATCTTCTTCACAAATAATGCAAAATCAATCGCCTTACGTCTTTTTAATTCTTTAATGTCAAATCCATTTTATTAATTATTGTTTTTCTTTTATATGCTGCATTTTTTAAGTTTTCGTTATTCGACGTTGACGTTATTTCAAGCAGGCTCCTTCGAATTCTTTGTTTTGATTTTTTATAAGAATAGAAGCTAATATATTTAATTGGTGTTTTACTTGGATTAAATATATCTTTTTGTTTATTGATGCTAAGCGCAGTAGTGTATTTAGAGTCTTCAATCACAGGTGTAACAACGCAAAAATCACTATTGTTCATGTCTGTTGCATGGAAAAATACCAACAGTCTTGAAACCATTAAAAGCAATGTCCATATCAATTGAATTTAAATATTTAATATTATTAAATTTAATAGTTCTGATACAGTAGTTTGTTTATTTGTTAGATCAGTTTTAGTAAGCCCTCTACTAAATTTATTAGATCAGTCTTAGTAAGCCCTCGACAAGATACTTGATTTTAAATGTGCAAACTCCTTCCACTTTTTCTTTATGTTTTCCAAGTTTGAAATTTCTTATTTTTTTTAAATGATACCTTACTAAGTGTATTTTTTTATTATGTTACAACATTTTATATGCTTGAGAATACAATTTAAGACATGTCGCTAATTGAATTTAAAAGTAAGAATAACTCATCACTGAATAAAATTAACACAATTTCGTTTTAGCTATACGTTTATACAATTCTTTTGAATTTATGTGTAATAAAAAGCCTCAACCAAAAATTATGAGAAACTTAATATAAACTTACTTAGAAGATTTATAATGAAGCTGGTTTATGGCGATTAAAGCAATTTAATTAAAGCAATTCGGTTGAATCAGATGTATATTTTGGCGCTGTTGTTTGTACTTTTATAGGCATACTTCGTTCAAAATTTAAGTGGTACGACCTTAGCAAGCTTATCCTATAGAGGATTTTAGCTAACCTTCTATAGGATAAGGTTATCTTACAGAAGGTTAGCTAAATGACCTTAGCAACCTTATCCTATAGAAGGTTTTATTTAAGGATCATTTATTTTAGCTTGAAAAAGAAGAAAGGAAAGAAGAAAGCGATCAGGTATTTGTTACCAATCTTTAAATATATATAAATATATAATAACAAATATATATAAATATCTAATAAGTTATTTAAAATGATTTGTTTAGTTCTTTTAGTAAATAATTGTTTACCAAATTATATTGGTAATAATCCTACTAGATATATTATTCATTATAGTCTCTTCGTATTATATTGACCATCGTATTACGTTGTATATATATATATATATATATATATATATATATATATATATATATATATATATATATATATATATATATATATATATATATATATATATATATATATATATATATATATATATATATATATATATATATATATATATAAAGGCAAAATATTTACGGACATAATTAGCCAGGTTGTGGTCTAAAATATAAATTTATTAAATTTTAATGGGTCCCTAACTTATTTTATTGGGTGTCTAATTGATGTTTTTTTAAAAAAAATTTGATATCTAAATAAGTTTAAGCTTGATTTGTGAAAACAATTTTCTCTTTATTTATATATTTTTTTAGAACTTAAATGAAGAAAATGCAGATTAAAAAAAGTAAGTAGTTTAAGATTTTTCATAATTATATTTTTATCATGAGTAGCAGTTAGTAGCAGTAGCACTAAATATAAACCTTAATAGCTATTAAGCTATATAACTATTAAAATAAAATTATTTACTGTTTTAAACTCTAAGTGTGAATTTGTTGTATTTATAATAAACCGGAGCTGGTTAAATTGTCGGACTTTTACATATTTACATACAAAGCCGTCCCGAGGGGTGTGTCTAACCCCAACCCCCTCCCCCCCCCCCCCCCCCCGTCAACAAAAATTAGTCGGCAAATTTGGACACTGGAGTCTGCAAAATTGGATCTGTAGTGGCAGTCGACAATTGTTAGCCAATGAAGACCTGTTTTTTTTTTGTTGTTTTTTTTTGTTTTAAAATCTCAGTCGGCAAAAATGCTTTTGTCAAACCACCCCTTCCCCTTTTAAATCTTTTCGGGACGCCCCTGGTTACATAATTTTATGTTCACATGATTTTAAAATGATTTTATAACGACGAATAATTACTAGATTATTTTATTTAAAAATTTTTAATTGATTTTAATTTTTTAATTTTTAGATTTCATTGGGGTTTTCATATTTTACGATGCTTTGTATATTATGTACTACATATTGCACGAGTTTTTTTAATTTATTTATGTCTAGTAAAATATAAACTTGTTTTATGCTAAAATTGTTCTTAATAAAAATTGTCTTTTGCTAGAGCGTAATAAATAGAATTCACCATAAAGCACTGGGTATAACAGTGTTTATTATGATAAATTCTACTTTTCACGCTTCACCGGTGATAAGCTGATAATTATATATATATTATCACCGGTGATAAGCTGAATTAATCATAAAAAGCTGCTGCATATTGATTTTGGACAACTTTCGTTAATTAAAGTTTTATTTATGTTTTACTTTAGTAAATCTAAACAAGTCTCCAAAAAACTCTAAAAAATATATTAATTAATCAATCATAAAAAGCTGTTGCATATTGATTTTGGACAACTTTCCTTAATTAAAATTTTATTTATGTTTTACTTTAGTAAATCTAAACAAGTCTCCAAAAAACTCTAAAAAAGATATTAATTAATCAATCATAAAAAATTTCAATAAATTAAATTATTCTAAATCAAGTTTTAATAAAAACCTAAAACAGACTTGATTCTTTTTAATAACTTCGTAAGCTACTTCTGACTCGGCAACGTTGGAAGACCTTTATTTTTGTGGAATCTTTATTTTAAACGTTTTTATTTTGTAAAATGTTGTAGAAATTATTTTACAAAAGTATTAACAACTAAATAGAAACACATTTTGTAAAGTATAAAAAAGTCGTTGTTTACTAAAAAATCTAGTATTAAACAAAATTTAAAAATAAGTAATGCAAAAATGATAGATGCCCTTAATTTGCCAACTTTAATTAAATGATTTTTTTTTAATAAGAAAACATGTTTGCTAATTTACCACGCTATGTATGAAAAACTTAAAACGAAAAGCATTCAGCTAGATACAAATTTCGATAATTATTATACAGTTTTTTTTGTTTGTTTTATTTATTGATGATAAATAAAAGTCATTTTTATCAAATTTATTTTGTAAATAATATTTTTCAACAAAAAATGGAATGAGTTATTTTTTGAGACGTTTTTTAAACGTTTTGATATGTTTTTTTTTTTTGTTGCATAGTTTTAATAGTTACAATTGTCGTTCCAAAAAAGCTGAAATATTATAAAGCAAATAGAGCAAATGAAAAAAAATATAATAATATTAAAATCCCAGCACAACCCAAAACTTGTCTACAACTATATTAACAAACAACTAAAAATTTAAGATAGATCTTGTTCTCTGTCAGAGATATTAGAAAAAAAAAATTATTGAAGTTCTTCCTAATATTCTTAACTCTAAAGTTAAACCTACTGTTGAAAGCTCTGAATATTTACCATAGTTTAAAAAAAGTGATATTACCATAGTTAAAAAAAAGTCATACCCTGATGGACAACATTAGATCATCTTTTGATAAAGAAAAATTTGTATTGGGAGTTTTTATTGATCTTACAAAAGCTTTCGATACTGTCAACAAATTCTGCTCGATAAAATGAGAAAGTACGATATAAAAACCAAACTATTAAATGGTTCACTAATTATTTAAAAAACAGACAACAATTTGTTATAATAAACGGTATCACTAATACAAAGTTATTAAAAATAAAATGTGGTGTCCTCCAGGGATCTATTTTTGCACCTTTATTATTTCTTATCTACATTAACAATCTCCCTAAAGCCTCTACAAACTTCGATTGTTTAATGTTTGCAGATGATACCAATCTGTTTTATTCATTTACCTCTATCAATGACATTTTTGATAAAATCAACTTTGAGCTTCAAAAACTTAAACAAGGTTCAGTGCTAACATGTTATCATTAAACGCACAAAAAACTAAATATATTTTATTTCACTCAAAGAAACAGAAAAACAAACTACCATCAATTCTACCTTCATTAAGTATCAAACACAAAAAAATTGAAAGAACCCAAACAAGTAAATTTCTTGGTGTGATTATTGACGAAAATGTTTCATAGACAGCCCATATAAATGCCATCAACACTAAAATATCTAAAAGTATTGGTATACTTTTTAAAGCTAGACCATTTTTATTACAAAAAAGGCTAAAACTTCTTTATTTGTCCGTTATACATAGTTATCTCACATATGCCAACATTGCTTGGGGAAGCACACACAAGACAAAATTAATGTCCCTTTATCGATGACAAAAACATGCCTCTAGAATAATACATCATAAGAACAAACTGACTCATGCTAAACCCTATTAAAAGAAATGAAAGCGCTAAACATTTACCAAGTTAATATCTATGCTAATATATTGTTCTTGCTAAAATACAAATTAGGATTAGTTCCAAACCGGTTTACAGAAAATTTCTTTCAATCTAATATCAACAAATTTAACACAAGAGCAACTGGTAACTTTATAGTACCACGGAAAAGACAAAAAAATTCTCAATTTTCCATTTCTTATCGCGGTTCTTATTTATATAACAAATTAATTCCGAATTATACCTCAATTTCTCTTCCTTACAATATAACTTCTTTAAAGTCAAAACTCAAAAATCATGTTCTCAATTCAGATAATTACTTAGAAATGTTTTAGTTCTAATGATAAATTAATATTTACGCTCACATTCAAACAATCAGCAATCAAACAAAAATGAAATGTATCTTTTTATTTAAAAAATAAAGCTAATATTATTATTATAAACCACAACACTAACACCATACATAATATAATAAAAAGAAGAAAAAAGTCTACATAAATGACATTTAAAATATTTGTTTTATGAGAATCGTAGTGTTTATATGTGTACTTTACGCAACAGCCAAAGGTTCTCGATGATAAGACTAAACTCAGTCTTCTACGAGTTCCCAACAACAGCCAAAACCCTTATTTAATTATTGCTTTAATTATTGCTTCCTATTTTTATCGTAACGGTATTTTGTAAAATATTATTTTTTTTGTATTGGAAGTATATTTTGTTTATGTTATCGCAGTGTTAAAAAATTTGTAATTAAAAAAAAAAAAATCTGAATGCATTTGTATTGACAACTTGGGTTTTAGACATTAATAATTTTTATTTATTTATTATTTATTTAAGTGATCAAATACAAATACAATAATCCATTTATAATTTGATGAAGAGGTGCTACACCGAGCCCCTCTATGCTGACGAACATGGAGATACAGACGCTACAGACAAAGCAGCAGGTGTATCTATAAAGTTACTTTCTTATGTTGTTTTTGAAAGCGTTGATGGATTGAGCGTTCACTGCTTCTTGCAAAAGCTTTTTTTAATTTTTTAAAATTTATTACTTCTAATTTACCGATCTAAACCCTTATAAATCTTTTCGAATTTTGCCAAAGCTTTTGATTCCGTACCTCACAACAGACTTTTATTAAAATAAATATCTTTCGGAATAAACGGCAAACAATGGGTTAACTTGTTTTTGGTTGGCAGAAAGCAACGCGTTAGAAATAATAAAATCACCTATGTGTGGGTTAATGTTCTCAGTGATGTTCCTTAGAGTTCTTTTCTCGGGCCGCTTCTCTTCATTCTCCAAAACTTACTGAAACTTCTAAGATTTTTGCCGATCATGATAAACATTTTTCTGAAGCTTAATTCTGGACATGTTGATCTGCAAGTTCGACTACGCTTGGCATACGAGTGGTCAAACACTTTGTTTCTTAATTAAAACATGTGTAAATGCTGTGTAGTTTATTACGGTCTTACTAATTCTTTATACATTTCTTTCTAAAAAATAACCAAGAGCGTGATTTGGAAGTCATTTTTTTACATCTAACCTTAAGTGGAGCACACATATACATCAGTTGTCTCTAAATCCTTAAAATCCTTTAATTCTTTATACGCTAAAAAAGACATTCACTTTCATTGATTTGAGAACTATATGAAAATATAGCTCTCAAGTTATATAATATCTTATATTATATAATATCACACATCTATAACATATTTATAAGACATCTTAAACATGCAGTGTATGTTTGGGCTCCTTATTTAAAACTGAAATAGCCATGGTTAAATTAACGCAAAATAACAAAATAGGCTTCGAGTTTGAGACATTTTCAATACTGCAAAATTCTAAGAAGATTAAATCTTCCATAACTTAAGTTTCGGCGCCATCGATGTGACCTAATCCAAATTTTTAAGTAAAATACACCATTTTGATATAGTTAATGATATGCATATACTAAAGTTTATTAACTCCTTGTCTCGTGGTCACCATTTTAAAATAAGGCGTGAGTATGTTATAAACTGCGTTTCAAGATACAATCGGTTATATAATTGATCAGCAAAGTTCTGGAATAAACTACCTAAGCAAGTAACTTTCTACTCCAATGTACTTTTTTTTTAAAAGTAGACTATCCGGTGGGAAATGAGCTAGTGACTAGCTAACGAACAGCAGCTTTATAGAGATTTTTGAGCACACATTTTTGTTTCAATTTATCTTTTACGTCATAAAAAAACTTTAGTACTGGATCTATTATATTTATAAAAATAATTAAACTTATAACATTGCAATGTTATTACGACAATGTCGCTATCTAAATATCGCAGCTTTGCGGCTATCAATATTACTAAAAACGTTAGTTGCATATCGTAATATTATAGATAGCTACAACATTACAATAAATCTGTAGCTAGTCAATGGCTACAATTCATAGTTTTGTATATGTATATATGTATATATATATATATATATATATATATATATATATATATATATATATATATATATATATATATATATATATATATATATATACATATATATATGCTTTTTATTCATTTGTAGCTGAAGTGAAGGCAGAATAGCTGTATTCGGACAATTTTAAAAATAAAACTTGAATTTGTTTTACATGTTAAGATCTCATATTTTATAAAACACACGCATTTAAAAATATTTAACTTTTTAAGTTAAACTTTACTTCATACCAAAAAAATATATTTTTAATAATAAGTTGCGACAGCATCGTTATTTCCTATTTATTAAATTTATTTTCTGCGAGATTTAATACAAAAAATAGAATTTGGTATTAACAATCAGCTAATTTACTTATCTTAACTATATTCAAATAGAAGATGGTTGCGTAAGATG